AAGATGCATGTTATTGTTCATGGGTTATACTTTTTATTCGCGGGGAGAAGTAATGGTTATTTCTTTCTTCAAAGTGATATGACCTTGCTTTTAACTCAAGTGTAGAGTTACTTGATTCATTTGAAGCCATATTGGTTCTATTTGTTCACATTGATTGAATTCTTCAACATACATTTGACATCACTGCATGTCCTCATTTCCAAATGGGATTAGTTGATATTGGTAATAGATCTTTTTATATTTAGCATATGTCCTGTTTTATTTAAATGAAGCTATTGCCTTGTTTGATGTCTGTGTTGTCACATTTCTCTCTCCAGCTCCAGTCTGTCCTAATGCAGCAGTATGCAACGTATCCATCGTGGCCTTGTTATTGTGCCCAACTCTTCCTTTCTTTTTGACTCAAGTGGTGATATATTTGTGTATCTTAATCCTGTGTTTGTGTGTGTGTGTGTGTGTGTGTGTGTGTGTGTGTGTGTGTGTGTGTGTGTGCATTCTTGTTTTCCTCAGCAGAGCGTTAAACAGCTTGCATATCTTCAGATCTCATTAAGCCTAATTTTGGCTTTTTTTATACCTCTGTTTTAGAAAGTAATTTTGTATTGTGTGCCTCCCCCATCAATACTAACAGACAGTATTCCAGAAATGATGTATGCTGTACATTTGTATTGTGGCCTTTATCACATCATGCTGTTTTACAACAGAAAAACACTTGAGGAATATTAGAGCTTTCCCATTATTTATTAAAATAACATCCTCACTGTCTTACACGCACGCACGCACGCACGCACGCACGCACGCACGCACGCACGCACGCACGCACGCACGCACGCACGCACGCACGCACGCACGCACGCACGCACGCACGCACGCACGCACGCACGCACGCACGCACGCACGCACGCACGCACGCACACACACACACACACACACACAACACACACACACACACACACACACACACACACACACACACACACACACACACACACACACACACACACACACACACACACACACACACACACACACACACACACACACGCGCTTTGAGCACCAGGAAAAATGGCCGCCAGTTATTTCAGGGACACAGGATTTTTTTTCTGTTTTTAATCCAAATCTTTCTTGTGTCTTTAATTTCATCTCTTGCTGTCAGGTCGATAGATTCTGTCGTACCATTTAATCCTTCCTTTTTCATATGACCAATGTATTTGATTACTTCACTGTCTGCTGGATGCCATCACAACATCTAAGAACCAATACACATCCACCATGTCCCGTTGAACAGCTGCTCTGAAATCAGCATTTCCAAAGCTCTCTTAAAAAAGTTCAATCAATTCAAGTGATATGTATTCCATATCCAAAGCATTGACATTTTAAAATAATTTGAAATAAAATATTAGATTTGTGGAACCCTTTAAGATCCTTTTTTTCAAATTTCATTTCTTTTAACGATAGTAAGTCTCTCATTTGAAGTGAAATATTCAAACCTATTGTTTTATGGGTACACCATTCCATAAAGTAGAAACATTCTGTCTCCAATTGTACACACATGTCCAGATGCAGGGGCCAACACCATAAATCTGACTGCTGCCTCCCGTTAGAACGCTCAGTTCAAAACTGAAGCCCCACTTTGTTTTTTTAACAGACACAGTAGAATCAAAAGTACTAGTTTTTCTGAAAAGCTGTCATTTTCTAAAAACACATTTAAAGAGAGCGGTCTACAGTGCTGCGGAGGCAGATCTCGTTCTGTGGGTTCAAACCATGTTTGCTGCACAGCATGAGCTTGTAGCAACTGAAGCAACAGTTAGCAGAACAGGTTTAACATTTTCTATAATGAATATAAATAACATTTGTCAAAAATAAATAATTTGATTTCATGTTAAAATAAATATATGAATGTGCATTTACACGTCTTATATCGCTCAGAGCACTAATTTGTGTCTGTAGTGTAAGGGCTATGGACAATATTTGTACCTTTATTTATGTAATCATTTAAAAAAAAAAAACATGTTTAATAGAATTTAATATGTAAAATCATATGGAGTAGAACAAATATAACAATTACAGGAGAGGCTGAAACTTCTCTTTTTATTTCTACATCTTCAAATAAATCTTAAAGGTCACATATCATGCTATTTTTAGGAAATAGCATAGGTCTCAGATATATCAAAATATATAAAAAACATGTCTATGAAGTGTTTTGCTCAATACCAAACAGATCACCCATTCTAGCCATGCCTCATATCCCTCCATTTCACTTCCTGTTTCAAAAGTGCTGATTTTGGGTATAACGCTTTAAAAAAAGGAGGGGGCTGAGCTCATGCGGGACCGGGCAGCTACTGTCTAAACTAAATACTGCCTTGATGAAACGCCTTATCATGGATTATCAAGGATTATTTCTGAAACAGTATGGAGCTCAAAGGCTTTCTCTCTTGCCGGTTATACCACAAGGTGAGTTCCTTTTTATTTCCTGCTTCTTCACACACATGCTCTGTGCAGTACAGGTTAGCTCTGAGTGTTAGCGATGCTAATGTAAACAAAGACCATAATACGTCCAAAACATTCGGGCATTGTTTCTGATAGTGCCGTGGGTGTAAAGCCAGCCTACATTTCCGATATTACGTCATATTGGACGCAAATCTGGATCAGCTCCGTTGTACCCCCGTTTTTAGAGATTTGGGTACGGAGGAAAAGAGAGAGGGTTTTATTTTCTGACGCTGCATGAGTTCCGTGGCACACCGGGGACACATAGTTATGTATAAAAGACATCAAAAAGTGCATTTTGCATGATAGGTCCCCTTTAAGTATTTGATAAAACGCATCAATAATGTAGCTGTGTATAGGAATTATCAATACTGATATTATTACAGTATTACCTGTAGTGTCGGCGGTGCGACTTAGCGGGAGCACTGTGTGACCTCTCTCTCTCTCTCTCTCTCTGTGTGTGTGTGTGTGTGTGTGTGTGTGTGTGTGTGTGTGTGTGTGTGTGTGTGTGTGTGGTGTGTGTGTGTGTGTGTGTGTGTGTGTGTGTGTGTGTGTGTGTGTGTGTGTGTGTGTGTGTGTGTGTGTGTGTGTGTGTGTGTGTGTGTGTGTGTGTGTGTGTGTGTGTGTGTGTGTGTGTCAGCGGCTGTTCTGCTGATGGAGTGCAGAGCTCTGGGGCTCAGGAGGCCATCCATCATCTCCATCAGGCCTAAGTGAGCTCTCTGGACTGGGACGCCACCAGACGACGAGCTGGGCCACGGTCTGAGCTGGACTAAATAAACAGCAGCCCCTTCTTCATCATCATCATCATCATGCTCTCTCTGAGACCCACCTTGGGTAAGCAGTAGCAGCAGGGACGAACGGTTTTCTTTTGCTGCTGATCCTTATTTATTTAATTTTTTTATAACACATATTATTACAGAGAAATACATTCAGCCCACGTTCCCTCCACCACATCACATGCTCTGACATCTGTCCGACTCTACAGGCTTCTTCAAACTTATTTAATACAAACAAACATCAAGGGGAAACGATTTAAGAGGTTCACTTGATGTTATCGCATGCTTCATCGCCTAGGTTCCATGTTTCTGCAGGACACGTTACCAACACTATCTGGTGTTCTCCGGTTGACGGAGCAATTCATATGGTCACAAAATATTACTTAAACAACTCTTCTATCATAAATGTGCTTCAACCGTTTAGATTACAGTGACTGGGTTCAGCGCAGAGCATATCACTGAAAAAGTCATATAAATATAATACCATTTCAATAAAATTCCATATAAATATAATACCATATAAATAATATAGATAACTGCGGGGACATCCCTGAAAGAGAAGCTGACAGTGGCTGCTTGTTCAGATGTGTTTCAGATGTAGCTTTATGGGGAATTTCACTTTCTCAATTCAACTTTTTCAACAGAAGTGTATTTAAAAAAAAAAATGTGTTGCACAATTATTTAACTAATTTAAAGGAAATGTAATGGTTTGGATATTTGGACAGTCAAAAGAAACTAAACAAATTTGCATGAATAACATAATAAATCATTAAAATGCTTTTTTGTTCAGTATTGCAGCCAGCAGAAAGTGACCTGTAATAAACTCTGACCAGCACCACTAACAAGAGAGCTGCTGCTACTCTCGCTTTCACAAGTCTCGGTTTTCATTGCTGATATGTTTTCAAATACACACAGGATAAAAAGGAGCTGTCACTCTTTGTGGAACCTTTACCCCTTGAGAATGTGAGTGTGTCTCTGCACCCTGTTCTCTTTTCATTGGCAATACATAAAACACCACCACCCAGTCACACACACAGGTCAAGTGTCAGAGGTCATATTGTGTCTGAAGAGGATATACTCTTTTGGCTGTTTGCTGTTTGATGTCACACACACACACACACACACACACACACACACACACACACACACACACACACACACACACACACACACACACACACACACACACACACACACACACACACACACACACACACACACACACACACACACACACACACACACACACACACACACACACACACACACACACCACACACACACACACACACACACACACACACACACACACACACACACACACACACACACACACACACACACACACACACACACACACACACACACACACACACACACACACACACACACACTTTGAGCACCAGGAAAAATGGCCGCCAGTTATTCCGGGGACACAGGATTTTCTTTTCTGCTTTTAATCCAAATCTTTCTTGTGTCTTTAATTTCATCTCTTGCTGTCAGGTCGATAGATTCTGTCGTACCATTTAATCCTTCCTTTTTCATATGACCAATGTATTTGATTACTTCACTGTCTGCTGGATGCCATCACAACATCTAAGAACCAATACACATCCACCATGTCCCGTTGAACAGCTGCTCTGAAATCAGCATGTCCAAAGCTCTCTTAGAGGTGCAACATCACTGACTCTATTTCTCCTTCTCATAGCGTAGCCGTATACAGACAGAGCAGGTGTCTGGAACATCAGTCAAATGAAGCCCTGTTTTAATGAGGCAGACATTTAGAACACTTCCTCAGTACATTGTGTCAGTCATACAGTCTTAGTAACCACAAAGAAAAACAACACAACAGGACGTGGATTTCCTAGATCATTTAAAGAAAACAATAACATTATGGTTATAAGTCAGTGTGCACCATCAGCAATAATATATATCTCCAATAATATACTTTTTTCCCCGAGTACAACCATGGTCAGATTTACAATCTAATGCAGAGAATCCTAACAGAGAATTTACTTTGACTTTCATATTTGTTACAAATTGCAACTAGTTATCTAGGTCAGGATATAAACACTTCATTAAAAAAATAGAGGTATAAATAAAAAAATGTCCGTCTTGCTGTTCCTGCTCCCTGTTAGCTGCGGCTACATGCTAGCTGCTGGGACTCAGCGACTGCATGCTACTTTCAGGTCTGATGGGAATCAGTGCAGCTGAAAATGTGTTTCATATTTAAATGTTAGAAGCCATCATTATGTCCACATTCGAGTTTATTGTATACTTCCATTTCAACAGATGCCACATCTCTTCTGTATTGTAGTGCTGCCCTCCAGATGTCATGGACTTTCACTATTGCAAAAACCAATCCATTAAAAACTAATCACACATATTCCTGCACTGACACAAGTAATCCATCATTTTTAACTACACATATATTTTACCTATTACTTTAACACACTGCTTATTATAGTGTTAAAAAAAATCTGATTTTCCCATGACTGTGCACTGTTGATGATAAATTCATAATTTGAGATGCATTCAGTCATTTCTGGAAGAATGACAGTGCTTTTGACAGGATTACAGCTGCAGTGCTTGACAGTAATTATAACTACATGTCTAATTTAAATTGATGGATTATGCCATTAAGTCTTGGCAGCAATATCTTCTTGATATAAATTGAAGGCCAGGACTTCAGTAACTGACGCTCAAGCTGTGGTAATGAGGGGTTAATATGTGTGTGTTGTTAAAACACAAGAACTTCATGAACCTTATACAACTTACTGCTCTGTCCTCGTGTGACCAGTCAAGCGTCTGAACTGCAGGATGACTTGATAAACATCTGCTGTTCTACTTCACTTTACTTTGTCATCTCTACACTCTCGCCATGACCTTGGTACCGATGGCAGAATTAGATCCAGGTCCATCACAGACCCTCGCTTCACAAACACTTTTGTTTTAAGCAGCTAACAAGCAGTTGCTTCAGATCCGTCACCTTCAAAGCACAGAGATTCAATATTTCCCTCATTTCATGTATATTAATACATTCAATTTCATACAGCTGGTTCCTGCCACACTGAAAATACTCAGTGTCTATTTACTCTTCCTTTCATGTGTGACCATGAGATGCATCATGAAACAATCCATCAGAATCCACGCAGTCCTTAGGATTTACATGTTTTTAAAATTAGTTTTTTTACTTTGCAAGTTTAAACAAAAACTTAAAATTGGACAGGTATGTTAGTGCGGCATTCTCCCCAGGAGAAACAAAACATGTATTTGACTTACATTTATCATTCTTAAGTCTGAATGAATGTGTAGTTGGAATATGAAACCAAAATTAACAAGAATTAAACGTACAACTATAACAAACTTAATGCTTGATTCATATTCCTTCCATCACCTTAGCATCATCATCATTTGTATTTTAGATTTGAATATCCTATATTGGAATATTTCTGAGAGTGGACCAGCCCTATATGGCAGGTGTAGGCGTTGATTGGTGACACTCAGCCGACTGAAACCTCTTTTTTTACCTTGGTCTGTGCAGTTTGACGCCTTTATCTTGGAACACATACAAGCAAATCTTTAAAAAAGTAAGTAAGAACATATTATTGCATGAAAGTGTTGTTGTGTTGTTCATTTTGTCATAAACTGAAAAGAGAAAGATGTAGTATGAGCCACAGAAAGCTGTTCCAGCTAGCTTTCTGCATGTTACGGCTGCATGATGTATGAAGGTGCAGCCATAGAGCTCCAAGGCACCTCCGTCATGAGTCCCGCTGGTAAATGCTGTTAGTGATATTAGTGAGTGGTCTTCAGTGCCACTTCCTACAAGAATGAGCCGGAGTTTGTCCTACTAGTGAACGTAAAGCAGCTGTCCAATAGGAAAGCAGCAGGACTGTCCCGGCATGTGTGACAGGCGGAGGGGGGTGCTCCTCCTCCACCCATCAGCAGTCACCATCCGTCAGTGCAGTGTCAGAGCTCGTCTTCATGGTTCCTCTTTAAAACCTCCTTCTTTGCAGTGACTTGGTTTTAAAGACACTTCAGATGTTTCACACCTCTGATAAAAATCTAATAACATATCTGGTAGCAGAGTCTCTCACAGTGCAGTGGTGGATTTGATTGGTTTTTCTTAACCATTCTACCAAGACTCAGTGGTTGTGGTGAATATTGTTGAATCCATTTCCACAGTGTTCCGTTCTCCCCAGACATGTGTCCTATCTTTAGTGCAGTATGAGAGTTGGGACGGCAGCTACGCAGCCACGTGTCCGATCAGGTATATGTTGTCATAGAGATGGCCCACAAAGTCATCCGAGACATTATGTGCTGCTCGGCGAGTGTTCCTGATGAACTCCCTCTTGGACATCTTGTTTTTGACGTGGGGGCTGGTCAGGTCGATGGACAGCAGGATGAGACTGTAGCACAGCACGTACACAGCGTCTGCGGGGGGGGGGGAGAACATCAGGTGTGTGGGGCACTAACAGTCTAGTCCCCAGCTCCTAGAGTCCTTTTGAGAACCAGGAAATGTTGAGTACCCCAAAGTGTTATGTTAGAAATCTATAGTACAGGTCCCCAGCACATAGAAACTGCTGGATGCTAACTTGGCATTATAGTCCATGTAAACAATAGTGAATAGCCCAACGAGAGTACAAATATGTCCACTTTCTGGTTAAAACTGCCACTTTGGATCCTAAAAAATGTCAGAAATTGACTCAAAATCCACTTTGGCTGAATTGGCCAAGTGATTTTTCATCTATTGTTATCGTTTGAAGCCCCACTCAGGGACCAAAGCACTATTTTGTATTAAGCTGGCACAGCGGGAAACAAGATACATTGTTGAAAAACGGCTTAGAAAAAATGTTCAGATAACCTGAAGGGGAAACCAGGAGACTATCCAAATACTTGGGGTGGGCTTCTTACATATCTGGAGACAGATTCCAAAGGGTAGCCTTACTTTCAAGTTCACATTTGGATTGATAACAATTTTTACAAGAGAATAGATAATAGATATGTTTGTTCTATATCTTATAATCATGGTTTTGTAACTATTGATATATAGGCTATTTTTTACCCCACTTTTAACTGTATGGACACAAATGAGCTGTTAACTGTTTCCTACCTGCAACTATAGTGTTTACTTAAAAATATTTTCTTTTATCTTGTTAATTATTTCAATACTATGTCCCCTTTTTTTAAATTTACATTTTGACTTGTTTGTTGGTATATGTACACATTGTGAAGAAGGTAATGGTCAGACCTGGTGGGAGGGGTGAGGTTAGCTGTACACAAACTGCATTAGAGTCCCATATAGCTTGATGTTTGACTGCAGAACCCTGTCATGGATTTTAAGCATGGAACCCTAATATCAGATCGTAAACAAACTCTAATTCCATCTGAAAACGATGAATAAGACACATATTTATAAATCTAATAAACTGTTAGCCTCTGCTGTGGCCAATCCTTTCCAAAGAGTGAAATGAGCGGCAGCCATCCATCTCTATCCGTGGGCTCAAACCATTACACTAATCCTGCTAATCACATGAGCATGTCCGAGGAGTTACCAGCAACAGAGACTGTACGCTCGGCTGACATTAACAAAGCCCTCCATTGGTAAATGCAGTCCATTGACCTACTGAAGCCAGTGATTACTTAAATAAAACCTTCACGGTTCACCCTCATATTGTGGATGAGCCGATTGGTCAGAAGTGTGGTAGCTTCAAAATAAAACAAATACAATCCATACACCGTCAAATCTAAATGTTGACCTGATCATTGGGTATAATAAAATATATCCTCTCTACCTCAGAATGTACTGAATGTATTTATGGTTTCATTCACTTCATTTGGGACAACCCATTTGCATTCCTCTAGCGCCACCTTCAGGTAAAGAATACAATGTACACAACTGTGAGGAAATGAGTGTTCACAGCAACAAATGCATCATTTGAGTTTCCACTGATGTATCCCGTCTGTGTATATGTGAGCTGGTAACAACAAATTGCAGGATAGAAAATCTTTAATCTAAAAAATGACATGTTCATTAACTCCAGTATAACCAAATAATTGTTTTAACTTTAAAATGTTAAATGTCCCCTTCAGCAAAAATCGTGGTTACATGTTGAAATTAATCCACAAATAATTGAACGGGCATGAAATGAACTGTGTCCATTAAAGATGTTTTATTGCCATAAAAATCAATCTTCTGCAGTGTGTGTGTGTGTGTGTGTGTGTGTGTGTGTGTGTGTGTGTGTGTGTGTGTGTGTGTGTGTGTGTGTGTGTGTGTGTGTGTGTGTGTGTGTGTGTGTGTGTGTGTGTGTGTGTGTGTGTGTGTGTGTGTGTGTCATGCTATGCGTGTACTAACCAGGACTAAGGCCCAGATCTCGGACCAGGCCGGCGTTGCAGGTACAGAATCTGTGGCTGAACTTGGTGATGAGGGTCTCCAGATACTCTCCCCTCTCCTCGGGGGCGTGGATGTGTCTGAAAAAGTCCCTCAGAGCGTTGGGGAGGAACTGGTTACTGAAGTTATGGAGCGTCACCAACTCGTCCAGAACATCCCGCCTGCACACACAAAGACACACAGACTGAAAGGCATGATAGAAGCAACATTTATTCATTTTTACATGCAGCAATATCATTGTTTCATGTCTAGTTGCCAGCACAGTGAACCGGAAATGTTGAGTACCCCAAAGTTTTATGATAGAAATGTATAGGGGTCCCCAGCAGATAGAAATGCAGGATGCTAACTAGCATATGTTGGGAAATGAATGGCATTATAGCCTAAGTGGACAATAGTTAATGAAAATGGCTTGGCCGATTTGAAGAATTTTGGAGTGTTGTTGGCCGTTAGTGGGGATGCTGAATCCATTTATGATAGTTGACAGGATTAAAAATTACTGTTTTAACCAGAAAGTGGCCAAATGTTGACCAAGAAATGGACCCAGCAACCTCAATAACCCCCAAAAAAAAACAATCCAAAATTGTCCAAATCGGCCAAGCCATTTCCATCAACTATTGTCCACATAGGCTATAATGGAAATGTATGCTAATCAACGTAATGTATGCTAATTGTGCAAGTTAGCAGTTTCTATTCTTACTTTACATTTATAACATTAAACTTTGGGGTACTCATCATTCCCTGGTTCACAATATGACTCTACAGTAGACAGTGGACTCCCAAACACCTTTCCATAGTTTCATATGGTGAAATGTTTCTGGGTGTTCCCTCTGTTCTTGTTACCTCTCATCCAGATAAACCCTCAGCATCTTCCAGTTGAGCCGTCTGGTGTAGAAGATGAATTTAGCCAGCTCTTTGGGATGATCCACCAGGATACCTCTGAACATGAAGTAACTAATACCCTACACACACACACACACACACACACACACACACACACACACACACACACACACACACACACACACACACACACACACACACACACACACACACACACACACACACACACACACACACACACACACACACACACACACACACACACACACACACACACACACACACACACACACACACACACACACACACACACACACACACACACACACACACACACACACACACACACACACACACACACACACACACACACACACACACACACACACACACACTGAGAGAGGATCTAATGAGTGAAGTCTAACAGAGTCACTTCAACACTCCTTGATGTGGATAGTACAGATTGGCTCAGTATTATGACTATATTAAAACACATCATTTTGTCCTAACATCGTATTTTGTTGCAGGGATAATCCTCAAGTTAGCATTGTAGTCCAGTTGCCAGCTCATCAAGTCCTTTTGAGAAGCAGGACATGTTGAGTACCCCAAAGTTTAATGTTAGAAATGTATAGTAGGGTCCCCAGCACATAGAAACTTGCACATGTTGGACAATTTGCAAAATTAGCAGAAATTACATGAATTTGCATCAATTTCCATTATAGCCATGTGGCCAATAGTTGATGAAAATGGCTTGGCCGATTTAGACAGGTTTGGATTGGTTTTGGGGGTTATTGAGGACGCTGGGTAAATTTCTGGGCCCACAGAGACTAATTAGCATAAGTTGCATTCCTTAGCATATGCAGACAATTGGCTTGGCCAATTTGGACAATGGCGTAATTTGGGGGTTATTGAGGATGCTGAATCAATTTCTGACATTTATAGGATAACAAATTGCAGTTTTGAGTCCCCTGAAACCCTAAAATGGACCCAAAATGTGGTATAAATGTGGCCTTTTTCTGATCCTATAAATATCGGAAATGGATTCAGCATACTCAATTACCCCCAAAACCAGTCGAAAATGATGCATATCGGCGATGCCATTTTTCAGCTATTGTCTGCATACTAATGAATGCTAATTAACGCAACTTATGCACATTTGGAAATTGCCCAACATATGAAAGTTAGCATCCGGCAGTTTCTACAGTACAGTATGTGTTAGGGGACCCCTACTATACATTTCTAACATTAAACTTTGGGGTATTTAACATTTCCTGGTTCATAATAGACCTCGATGAGCTGGCACCTAGACTATAGTGTTGCTTCCCTCAACAAAAATATTTTTTTTCTTAGGTTTTTTGATAATTACACAGAACAAGCTTTGTGGAAAGCAAATATTGATGCTAGTTATAACACATATGAACAGCACTAACTACGTCACACCACCGCTAAGCAAAGTTCATATTTGACCTGATTAGGTTTAGTAATGTTATTTAGCACCTTGTTAGTGCCTATCATTTTTAATACAGATAGATGCTTTTTAAATTCATGTGTGGGGTATTTACTGACGTATATTATTGAAGATTGAAGATTCAACTTATTGTCATTACGTAGTACAGGTACTATGCAACAAAACGGTTTCTCTGCATTTGACCCATCCTAGTGTTAGGAGCAGTGTACTGCCATTATGTACGGCGCCCGGGGAGCAGTGTAGGGAACGGTGCCTTGCTCAGGGACACCTCGGTAGCACTTGGTCTTTATTTTAGGCACCTAACCAAACACCCATTCAACAAAACCATTGACTTTGAGTAAAGCGACCCAACTGTGTAGAAATGCTGACTCATTTAGAGGTTTTAGGACTCAGTCCTGCACCACCTATTGTTTCCGACACCAACATAAGCACACACTCAACACACACATTGAAGAAGCTGTGAGGTACTGGGATGTTCAAATGATCAAGTGATACCTCCTGAGCGTTAGCATTGAATGTCAGGCAGCCTTCATCCAGCTGGAGGTAAAGTCTCCTGTATGAAAATCCAGCAGGAAGTCTTTTGTTGTAGATGGAGCAGTGTCCCCATGTGGACTTACACAGCCTAATGGAAACACACACACACACACACACACACACACACACACACACACACACACACACACACACACACACACACACACACACACACACACACACACACACACACACACACACACACACACACACACACACACACACACACACACACACCACACACACACACACACACACACACACACACACACACACACACACACACACACACACACACACACACACACACACACACACACACACACACACACACACACACACACACACACACACACACACACACACACACACACACACACACACACACACACACCATCATCATCGCAGACTGAACAAGCTGTGTACTGCTCAGAAGGATTTCTGGTCACATAGAAGCATTTTTTATGAACCTCATTAAAATCACCCCCTCACAACTTCATCCACACAAAGAGCCTCCTTACCCCTGCCACAGGTATTCGTCATTTCCGAGGTCCTGCCACACGCAGCCAGCCAGGCACAGATCAGTAGCATTCAGGTATGAAAGTATGGTGATGCCTAATTCAGGGGGCAACATCTCCAAGTCTATAAAACCATGCCGTTCCTTACCTGCAGTCAGCAAGAAAAAAAAGGAGTTAAGCAGACATAAGAAAACAAACCTTTAGTTTATAATGTAATCTCATTGTGACACAACATTTGTACAACTACAAAAATATAGTTTTAAAGCCTTCCTCCCGACTTAGTAGCCGCTCTCCATATGTCCCACGTCACAGTCATACTTTGCTGGTGGATGAGTCAAGTTCATTTGCCAAACCTTAAACTGATCTGAAGACCAGTGGAAACATTTTTACGAATATATATTCACCTTTAAGTTTGCCTGCTTTACTTTGTTGTTGATAAAAAAGCTTCTAGTACACTGATAAAAATGATCATTTACTTTTTGCTCTCGTAAATAATACTATGATTATGTGTTTAAATTATACAAGAAATTACTAATAATTTTCTTTTACTCAAAATCTCTCCTTTTATTTAATGTGTTACTTGAATTTGCAAGTAATTTTGTATCTTCATTTTGATAAGTACATTTAAATCATAGCACCAAGTAAACTAAAGTAACTACAACACATGTGTCAAACTCAAGGCTCGGGGGCCAAATCAGGCCCTTGGTGGATTTAATTTCGGCCTGCAGGATAATTTTTAATTAGTATTAGATCTGGCCCGCCGGTATATTGCACACACACCTTCACTCAATCCTGAGGGTCTCCTCAGCTCAGAGCCTGACCCCAAACATTGATGAACTTGCACCCAAGATGAGATGCCAAGTATCTGAGCTAGCATCACAGAGCAGCACACTGAGTTTACATGGATGTTTCCTTCTGCACTTTTTCTCTCACGACAACAGGGCATGTTTGGTTTTCTCTTTGAGGGAAATAGTTTTGTTGAAGCTGTTGACTCTGGAAAAGCTGCAGATAGAGCCATAAGAAATTAATGCAACTGATTATTCAATGTTTAATGTTGTTTTTATAGGCAATAATTTAACGTAACGGCTCCACGGATTGGTCCATTGGTCCAACGTGCGCGGAGCCGTTACGTTTGGACCAATCCGTGGTCTTCCTCACACACACACACTCAATCTTTTCTCAGCTGCAGCTCCGCGGATTTCTCAGCCTGAGACGGCGGGACGCGGGGAGGCTGCGGGTGTGTGTGTGTGCACACACACACACACACACCCGCAGCCCGGCTGTGAGTCTGTGTGTGTGCACACACACAGACTCACAGCCGGGCTGCGGGTCTGTGTGTGTGCTCGGGCTGGGTTCGGGCTGGGTTTCGCTGTGTCTCGCAGACCCCACACAGCAGCCAGGAAACAACACCAGTAATCCAGCTCACACTGTCCGCTCCTTGCAGCGGCGAGCCCCGCAACGTCCCGCCAACACGGCACCCAGACCCCACGCAGCATTCTCACCTGTTTGTCATTGCTGGTGTCATTTTCTGGTTGCTAACAAACGCCATTGTATCACATAAAAACACATCAGAGCACAGTGGGCTCATTTCATTTCATTTCAAACCTTTATTTATCCAGGTTATATCCCATTGAGATCATTGATCTCTTTTTCAAGGGAGACCTGCAATAGGGAGGGGGGGGGCAGGAGCTCCAACAAGCCGTTTAGGACAGAGAGTGAATACACATACTATACAGAGATGCTGTATGAGAAACCAATGAGAGTTTGGAACATTGAACAATGTAAATCTATTCTAGTATACCTCAACAATGGAATTATGATCAGTAGAAATGGCCATGACATGGGACCTTTAAACAGCACCACGTTGAAGTTAGACGGAAGCCACCCTCCCGCCTGACTGAGCTTCTGGAAGAGTCTGCAGCGGAGCTGATTAAAGAGAACCAGGTAAATGTTCTGCTTGATTTGTGTTAAAATGTGTCTGCTGTTCTGTTTGTACATGAATATCTCTATTCTCTAAAGGTAAGTACATCTTGCCAGTATGTGAAAAACCTCTTCAGTCTCCAGTTTTTAAGTTAACATTTAGATAAAGTACATTGGAATCTAATTTTACTGTATAATATTGATATATATTTTCAAACTTACTCAATTTCAATGTTTAATATTCTGATTCAAAATGTGTTTTTCAGGAGAATTGATAGTTTGAGCCTGTAGAACCCAATTATTTAATCAGGTTTACTTCCTGTTGGGAACAAAGCAAACATTTTATAAACTGAGCTTCCTTACTTGTAGTCATACTTTGACCGTAACAAATAAGAGTTAATACAAATTCCCATATCCACACTGTAGCTACTGCATATGATAATAAAGCCCTTTGAAGCTTACCCCATCATGTCAAATCAATGGCTACTTAAACACTAAATTAAATAGCTAACTCAACCCAATCAGTTTTAGTAAATTCACAGAAAGGTTTACAGTATTGTATGTTAACACTGATTTACATGTTTTGACAGAATGGAGGCAAAGATATCGTGGAAAAAGGACTATGCTGAGTGTGTCGTGAAGCTCCATGTCCTCCATGAAGTGCAGCAAAAGAAGACGCCACACCTCCCAACGTGTCCATCTCCATCGAGGGATCGGCGGTGCTTGATGAGGGTGAACGCCTGCCTTCTGCTCACGGACATCATCCATGCAATGAACTTAAAGTGGACCTATCATGGTATATTTAAATGATATATTGTAGGGCCATACCTATATAAGGTATATTTATACGTTTCTGTTTTCAAAATACCAAACAGATCATGCATTTTAGCCATGCCTCATTTCGCTCAATTTGCGAAAAAATTGTACACTGTCCTGTCCTGACGTCAGGACAGTGTACAATTCTGGATCAGTTTTTATCAGATCCGTTGCAGCCCCTTTTTTAGAGATTTGGGTATGGAGGAAAATAGAGAGGGTTGTGTTTTCTGACATGGTGAGTTCCCTGGAACACCGGGGACACATATTCATGTATAAAAGACGTACAAAAGTGCATTTTGCATGATAGGTCCCCTTTAAGTAACACATCAAAGTTGAAATACGCTTCTGTCGTTTGCAAAAATCTTTCTTGAACTTAATTTCCTCAAGATTTCTCTTGAAAGTCCACATTTTTGCATAAGCAGTCGTGGAATGTTGAGGTACTTGAGAATGTTCTTTTCGTTGCACTTTATACTCCACTACAAATCAAAGGGAAATATTGTACTTTGTGCTTCACTATCTTATATAGAGTTTATAAAGTATAAGGTTCTGTTTTTTAATTTACAAAAAATGTAAATATTGTTAGAAATCCTTGAGTTATTACGTTTTTGTTTGTTAATATTGGATTTTTTACTATAGGGTACTTTTTACATGTAATATTCAAACAGCATTTAGCTAATTATACTTTTACTTAAGTAACATTTTCATTACCAGACTTTCACTTGTAATTCTTACAGTATGGTATGAATATTTTTACTTAAGAAAAGGGCCGGATACTCCTTGGACCTCTGAGTGACAGTATATCAATGTGTTTCTGTGCCTGCTTTGTTTAATTTAACGGATGTATGTGCAGTATTTGTTCAAATCATTGTAAACTGTAGATTCATCATGGCTTGTATTAGACAACAGAACAAAAATAAATGTGTTGTTTAAAAGTGTCTACTGTTTCATGTTTTGTAGTAGCCTTAGTGTAAAACAGTTTTATTGAATAAGAATTGCATTTGATGATACTTAATAATTATATTTAAATATTACCTACATATTTATTAAAGGTCCCATGTCATGGCCATTTCTACTGATCATAATTCCATTGTTGAGGTCTACTAGAATAGATTTACATTGTGCAATGTTCCAAACTCACATTGGTTTCTCATACAGCATCTCTGTATAGCATGTGTATTCACTCTCTGTCCTAAACGGCTTGTTGGAGCTCCTGCCCCCCCTCCCTGTGAGCCCAGTGTGCTCTGATTGGTCGGGACGTTGCGAGGCTCATTGCTGCTCGCCGCTGCTGCGAGCTACTGCGAGGAGCGGACAGGTTTCCGGGTCGGCGATACAGACTCTGCAGACCGTTTACATGCATAAAAACCTTCATAACACACAAGGGGACGGGTAATAACTGGAAAAGCATGACATGGACCCTTTAAATCAAAGATAAGAATAGCAAGTAAAAACAACCTGAAAAGCCAAATAATTTTTACTGGAGATTTGTAATAAGATGCAAATGTATCTTAAGTAAAATATACTATACAATAGTAAGTCAAATGTACTTACAAAAACTGAGTGTGACAGTAAAGTTTACTTAAGTGCCTTTATTAACAAACACTTCTTAACTGTAAGTCGAAGCTACTTGAAATATACGTTGTTAAATTTACTTAGGTTTTCTGAGTGCAATTTGTTACCTCGATTTTCCTAAGTAAATCTTACTCCCCGTTTTTTTCAGTGTAGAAAATAGTGAAAAATGCACTTAGGTGACAGAATACATCTACAACCATGTGACTCATTGACTTACATTTTCTAGAGAAAAGGATGGTTGTTATTTGAAGAGCTGACAACAAGAAGAGAGGCAGCTCTGAGGAGCACACTGCACAGATACACAGCTCTCTCACACACTTCATATTCAAATTGTGGACGGACACACTGCATACATGGCAGGTGACGCATCGTATCGTCTTGGTGTTTCATGTCATACTCACAGATTAGGAGTAACTAGATAAACTTGCGTTCCATAAGGCTCATGTTCTTTTAACAGTTTGTCAAGCCTAATCGTTTGTACTAGCTGCTGAGGAAGAAAACTCAACACAATTAAATAAAAGGAAGGCAGCAAAAAGGCCTGATGATTTGAACAATAACCATGTTGTTTTGTTGTATGCTATCATATAAATCATTATTGGACAGTGGCTTTATAGGGGGCCGTGAAGGGAGGGGCCACTTTCTCACCAGAGTCAGGGACTTTGGAGCTTGAAGAAGGGTTGGCAACATTTGGATACATTTTAAAATCTAGTCACTTTAGTGTGTGTGGATGTGTGGTGTGTGTGTGTGTGTGTGTGTGTGTGTGTGTGTGTGTGTGTGTGTGTGTGGATGTGTGGTGTGTGTGTGTGTGTGTGTGTGTGTGTGTGTGTGTGTGTGTGTGTGTGTGTGTGTGTGTGTGTGTGTGTGTGTGTGTGTGTGTGTGTGGATGTGTGGTGTGTGTGTGTGTGTGTGTGTGTGTGTGTGTGTGTGTGTGTGTGTGTGTGTGTGTGTGTGTGTGTGTGTGTGTGTGTGTGTGTGTTCATACCTCCAATGCGTGTTCTCAGCAGATGGTAGATGTCAGGACCATAACACTGCTGAGGAGCTCTTCTCTGGGGACCTCCATCTCTCCCTAAAACAACAGATGATTCACTGTCATACTTGAAGTGGGAGAATATGCCAGCATGATCTGTGGTTAAAGAGTGGCATAATAAACTTAAAATATAATAAAGACCTATACCTTCTTTATTATCCTTGGCTCATATTTATTCTTAGAGTTTTGTTTAAATCATTTTCAGAAGTTATGGTTTTACTGGTGTTTTAATTTTCCATGTACAGTATTTTTTTGTTGTTGTATATTGTATAAACCTGAAAGTTTGCAAACGTATTATTCTGTATATGTATGAATACAGCGCTCATAAAAAGGTCAGCTGAATAACATTTCAAATAAAGTTTAATCTCAAGTTGTATTTCCCTCGACTGTCCTAGTGTAAAAAGCTTCTATTTGTACTAGAAATGATCATTGTGGCTTACTCAGAGTAACAACAAGGAGCTTCACTTTGAGAATAAGGAGAAAGGTTAAGATGGGAGCTAAATAACAAGACAAAGTGATCAGAGCAGAAACACAGCTCACATGTACAACACGAAAACAAGGGAATTATTGAAATGCTGGAAATAGAAAATAAAATTAGTAAGTGAAGTGGACGTAACAAAACTACTGATTAAACAACTTGTGTATGTGGTTGTTATTGGGATTATAGAGTGATCATTTAACATGCAGTATATATGGGGGGGAAACTGCAGTTTTGGGTTGAATTTATTTCTCTGTCATTTTAAAAACATCACTTTTAAACAATGTCGTTATTCTTATTGCCAGGATCTTTGAATCACTGATTCTTAGTATTCTGCAAATGTGTGTCTTGTGCGGTCACGCAAGGAACAAACAGACAGTTTGGAATGAAAAAGTCTAGTCAAACGTTTGAATATTATCGTCACTTGATTCACATCAGAGGTGCATAATGCTACCCCAAACTCAAAAGGAATCTGTTTGGTTGGTTATGTTCAGGTAGACTGATTTCAGTTGCTGCTTGCTGTGCTTGCATTGCTTTAAATGTTTATTTATAAAATGACTGGAAGCAGGAAGCTTATAAATCAGAAAAAAACATACACATTTCTCAGCCAAAGTCACATTAATGTTAGCAGAGGTTCAGATTACCTTGCTCCTGTCCTTCTTCCTGGTCGGCCAGTCGGTCTGCGAGCTCTTCCTGAAGCTGCTGCTGTTGTCTGGGAGGCAGCCTCCACAGTGCCTGACCCATCTGTATGCAGCACAGCAACACGGTATGATGATCAATAACATGATTATTTATTACAGCTGACCGATGTGCACAGTATTTAGAAGCAGCATGTGCCTGCTCACTTCTCTTTTTTCTGTCTTTTATGTCACAGGGGAGGTACTGCTCAAAATCACATAGTATACAGCAGTAGTTACACATGTGCAGTGGCGACTGGTCATTAGGGGCAGGTGGGGCACAGCCCCACCTAGTGTCAGCAGAAAGTATTACACATAATGATTACAAAAAATGCAAAGAGATGCAAAAAAAGAAATTAAAAAATATATAAAATATATTTTAAGGTCATGTTTAATCATCTGATTCGTCTGTACATTGCTGTTTTAGTCTGTGTTCTTCTAATTAGTGTCTACAGTGCCGTTTTGAGCCATGTGGGACAAAACCTGATCATGCCCCACCCTTTCACTGTCAAAGTGAACGGTGACTGTAAAAACTACACTGCGCATGCTCAGAGTATTTTTCAATGTAATGTGTGTGGCAAAAAAAAAAAAGACCATAGGGGCACAGAGCTGCCATCCCCACCATACGTCATCTCACATCATTCAGAGCTGATTGGCTGTAAGTACGTGAGAGGAGACGAGAGAGCTGCAGTGACGCGTCCTAAAACCAGGAAGTAAGCTGCAAAAAAGCAATGAGGTTTCTCCATAGGATTTTAGAAAATAGCTCGAAATAAGATCTGTGGGAAACGTACCTGTTAGATAAATGCACGTTTTGTTCAGCCGGATAATATCCACATGTCTACCCTACTTTTATAATTTTCGAATCATAAATCTATCGATTAGATTTATGATAGACTTTTGAAACTACAAGAAGATAAGGAGGACTTTTACAAAAAAGTAATAGAAATGTTTGTCCAGAAGGATAGGCAAATGGACTTCATCTTCAAGTCAAGGTAAGACCGCAATTTTTTGAAAATGGGATCTTACTAAGAGAGAACAATTCAATATTTAAATGATAAAATGACATTTTTTGGGTATCCTTTTGTTGAACTGTCTGTTTAAAATTAATCGAAGCATCAGACAAAAAAAGCTTTTGAAAATAATATTATATTTTGGTTTAGGTCAAAATATAATATTTGTAAACCTGAAGAGTCAGTGCCAGTGCCTCACCAGCCATGAACCTCACTGCACGTCACTGCAGAAGCTTATATATAGACATCTATGTTTTTTGTGCCCCACCACTTTTGTACATATAAAAACGCCACTGCACATGTGTAACCTAATCTGGTCATATTTACAATACTTTTCTTATAATCACATTTATGTATTGTGCATCAACTAAATACATGTAACTAGGTTCAGGTTATTTATTTGTACATGTAGGTCGATTTGGTTTGCAGATAAAAAGACAAGGGATCCATCCTGACACACATTCTAAAACAACACAGACAACGGACACATTTCAAATAAAAGCACACCCTGCTCCATCACATCTGAAACATTTAAAAACCACTGGAACACACATGGGCTTTCGAAATGAATGAATGAATGAATTAATAAATAGGCATCTGTGTGACTTGTTTATTTGTGCGATAGCTGCTGGAATAAAGCAGTTTTTATACCGCTTTGTTCTACACTTCGAGACAACTCTGTGTGCAGAGGGTGGGACTCATCTTGCTGCATTAAACTACTTTTTTCAAAAAAACAAGTAAAATAATGACAGATCACATCATTCAGCACAGGACACACAGAGTTTACTTGTTTCTACGATCGTTCATTAACAGTTGCCTGATAAAGCTGGCAAATCCATAGAGTTCAGAAAGAATCCCTGAAGATAAACCCTGTGTCTGAATCATAAATACACCTCATTTTCAGGATACTTCATGTAATTACAGCATGTAGCCCACTAACCACTGGGCACAATGCTTCTCAGCAGACTATTCAGTGAATAAAGCATTTTATACAAAATCTATCAGTTATTTTATAATGTCCTGCATAATGTTCTGGAACTGTCTTATTTCCTTCATTATATGATGAAAACATTTGTAAAAAATGTAATAAACATACATTAAACTGGTTTACTGTGATTGTTGATTACATGCTGTGTGTTGAGGGTTAATTATAAAAGGTCTAATTGTTATATATATGTAGTTCACATTATGTTACTGACTTTTGAGGTAGCCGATGAGTAACACATGACCTGTGGCAGTGATACAAGTTTATGATCCTAAGTCTCTTGTATTAAACTAAATTGCACAGTGTATCAGACAACACTGGAAAATGCAATTACTGTTCTCAAGATTGTACCAATAAATTACGTTTGGTATGCATACAGCTGACATTATTGTCAGGACTGATACACTTCAAATGAAGCTTCACAGGTTAGTCTAGTGTTTAAGTGTGTGTGGGAATAAACACAGCAGTGATGCTCGCTGCTCCTCTCCCTCTCAGCCTGCCTACCGTCAGCTGTGTTGCATAAACAAATCCATCACTGTTGTAAACATCAACGTTGGAAGTTCGAGCAAGCAAGGTAGTTCGACCTGAAGTCCCGCCTTCCTCTCTTTATCGTTGGTTAAATGCATCACAACAGCATTCACAATGGAACGTTATTGGCTGAATTGGCTTTCACTAGCGATCTGTTCATACAAATCCCCGAGTTAGCTTACCGAGCTAGTTTAAGTTCACGAAGACAGTGTCGATACAAACTGATTGATTTTGCTGCCCTGATAGAGGAAATTGGTGTTATTTCTTTAATAGGAATGGTGCAGTATTTCCGGATGAGTACGATACAGCGGCGTAACCCTGGACAACCTACCTGAGTTTAGTTATTCCTGTGAAAACCCGACCTGCACACAAGTACAGCTGGAAATGTGTTGTCCTTTACATCAAACGTATCGAGATGTCATGTCATTTCAACAAGAACAAATATAACAGAGCAGTAGCTCCTTTGGGTTCAGGAACCTTTC